AATGAAACGTGGAATTGCGCGAAGTTTTCAGAGGTGCTTTCGTATTCAGACATTATGAGCACCGTGTGCATCTCAAAGTATAGACTGGGATTTTTTTAATGTTTTTTAAAGCTCTTTTATAACGCCTACTGCTTCCACTCTAAATGATAAAATTATGGGATGATACAAGTATTCGGGATTTCGTGAGCTGGTTGGTATCATTCTCAAGTGAAGGCGCTTTTTCTTATGTGCCTCCTCTTTGTCTTATCAACCTGTAACTGAATTAATTACTATAAATTAGTACAATGTAAGGAACATGTATTTTAATTCAATTAATGATCCTTTAAGATGGAAGTTAAATCAACTTTCTTTACCAATAAAATGTATTTTTAATACCGCATTACAAAGTGTAGTATGGCAGTAGCCTTTTTCTGCGTTAAAGTAAACGACGGTGTCAGGACATATGTATAATAGTTTTCAATAATTTAATTTTTTCCATGTTTTTTATATAGTGTCACTTTATCTTCGTATTCTTTGTTTCATTTCAGTTTCATTTTAAAAAAAACTCCTTTCACTTCATTCAGTTATTTTTAGTATATTTTCTATATCCTACCTTAACCCTTAATTATGATTACTTGATCGACAAGATTGGAAAATGTTGAGCCGAACTGTCCAATAAGAACTTTGCTCATTGCGTGACCGATGATGTCACGGAGGTCATGAGAGCCTCTGAGCTTCAACAAATCCAAGTACACATCCATCTTTCAGATCCATAAACCTTTGTTAAGTTCCTTACATATTTCTGAGTGTTGTCATGGGAACGGAGTTCCCCATGATATTAGAATCGTTCCGTTGCTTTCGCTATGGGATTCCCTATACCTCTGCGACCTTGAGCGTTTCGCCCAGTCTCCGATTTTTGGTTGATTTTCCGATGTATCAAAAACCGTTGTATTTTTTAGCCAATCATGTCTCTACGTCAAGTTGTGTTGATTGCTAAAATTCGCTTTCAGCGAGTTTTTTTCCAACTTGAGATGTCGTGTCTGACTGGTAAATCTGCGCAGAACCACGAAGTTCCGTTTTTAGGCAAATTCTTTTTTTTTGGGAGGTTCTGATTGGTTATTTTTCGCCATCAGTTTTCTGTTCGTTGGTGCAAAAGATCGCCTACCTCGGTGCTCTTGAGAAGCCGCCATTATCCCACCTCAAATTTGAAAAATAGAAGTAAAGAAATAATAACCATCGTACAAGGTGGAAAATTGTTCTGGAGGACTCGTTACGGATAAAGAAGTCAAAATCAGAGCTCGATTGATTGATTTAATTCATGGATACGCAAATATTGCCTTAGCTCAACTGCCGCGATCGGAATGCGTGCTGGGATGAACCTCGAGACGCATTAAAACAGTGCGAACCATGGCTCCTACAGCAATACAGCAATGCGCTTCATATCATCCCAAAAGCAGTCAAGGTCTCTTGTGATAAGTCCCGCCCATTGCCCGAGTCTTTTGTATGCTATTTTTACTCTCGCCCACGTGGATCCATTATAGCCTAGTTGACTAAACCGCCTCGTATTTTTGATTCGGTGCGGGCACCCGGCGATCGGGAGTTCGATACCCGACGATGGGAACTACTTTTTAATGGTTGTATTGAATGTTTTAGACTAATCATCAAAAAATAATTAATAGTAGATGATAAATGTACGAACATTTTCTCGTGAGTTAATATGTTAAACAAAAATACTGGAATATACCTCCTTCATATAATCAGCCACATGTTCCCCCAAATTAATGACGTTATTTTCTTTTTTCAATAAAGTTAATTTGCATTCAACGTTCGTAAGTTAAGCAAAAAGTACCTATTGATACAAATAGAAAGACATGAAAATAGTATGTCTAACATTTCAGTTGTTTTTTTTTTTTTTTTTTTTGTTTTTTTGTTTTTTCAATAAAACAAATTGACTGGGACTAGAATCATTGTATCTCTGAAGACAAAAGCTAAGTTTTTTGATACAGAAATACTAATATATTCATCCTTTATATAATCAGGGAGATGTTGACCCAAATATTGATGTATATTTTCTCTGTTCGCCCAAATTAATGATGGTATTTTCTTTTTTCAATAAAATTAATTTACATTCCACGTTCTTAAAGCAATATTTTCTCCAAAATTCAGCAAAAAATAACAATTTATACCTACGCAAAAAGTAAATAAATAAATAAATAAATAAAGCAATGACATGAAAGTAGTATAGGTAGTACACATCTAACATTTCGGTTACATCTATTTGAATGAAAAAAATGGCAACTTAGGAAGCACATAGGTCACTTATCGACGGTGAAACTACCAAACCACGTATCTCGGTTTGCGACGTCGCAGACTTCCTGTCATACTTTATTTTTTAAATGAAAAGCTACTTAACGTCCAGTCTTGAAAATTTCCGTGATTTTTCCTCTTCGTGCGGAGAAAATTCTGTGAAAATTTCAAGGAATGATATTGATTTGGTCTACTTCAAAAAAATAAAATGTGAGCGGAGATTTTTAAACACCGCAAACGAGATACGTGGTTTGGTAGTTTCACCGTCGTTATGATGCGTATTCGGGCATATGCGTAGAGTAAAAATATCATACTTTACGCCGAAAAAACGAAACTGAAAGTTAAATGCGTTAACTTCCAAAAACCATACATAATCCAACGAAAATAAATAATTGGTAAATAACAGCTTTCTTGTATGCAAAGAAAAAAAATTAAAAATGTTAAAAAAGAGATGTCGACACAAAATTACATAGCCCTTCAATTCTGAAGATACTACAAACGAACTGTACCTTAAAATTTTCATATCCCAGAAGCAAAAGTTCCCATGACGAATATTGCTATCGCTAGCGATTGCAAAAACCAACTTGTTTTCATTTGAAGTCTAAGTGTTGAATTTTGAACTCTTCTGTGAATATTGCACGAAATCCGCACATATAGTGCTCAAATATTAACAGACGGTTAGTGGAAATATAGTGAGGCAGAACATCTTCCAAGTCGGTAGTCTTAAAGACAGTGGCGTGGCGTGAATAATCGATTATCGATATCTTACCACTTGAGGCTATGGTAAAGAATCGATTACTAAGGTGCTCGCTGCGAACACCTTGATAATCGAACTTTTTTATAGGTTTGAGTGGCGTATCAATCGATACATCGCAAAGCACGCCACGCCACCGCTTAAAGAATCATCTTAAAAAATCATTAGAAAGCCATCTACTCGCAACATTCTAACGACCATTTTCTGTGTAGATTTTAGCAGTAATATTTTAAGGTCTCGTTTTCTAGCTCGATCGTACAATCTCTTATACGTTCTGATAATCCACGTCAATATGCAAAAGCTGAAAAATGCAGTCTGTGCCACTGGTGACTGCGCGAAGTAATGAACGGAATTTTCCGGAGCATTTTTCAGATTTTTTCCTCGAGGGGGCTCGTCTTTTTTACAAAAAAAATATCCAAAGCTCTACATTTCTATTTCAGCAGGCGCCAGAACGTTCAACTTTCGTGGGGAAATAATTTGCAAAATTCACAATTTTGCGCTGTGCGCGGTAACACCGCAAGACACACCGCTCGAATCCACTATACCGTCCGATCAAAAGGCTGACAGTTTGAAAGGATAAAAATACATCTCGGAAAAAAACACGTTTTTTGATCCCGAGAAACCGTGCCGCCTTTCATTTTTGCGAATGCGAAAAAATGGATTTGAGGTAAAAAAGCACGAATTGACCCCTCTAGCCTAAAAAAAGTTTTAGCTACGTTGCGTAACTGCACACGGATTCCAGCTTGCCGCAAAATTCCATATTTTCTTCATCTATTTGCATTTGCAAAACGTTGAGGAAAATTGTTCTCCTGGAAAATATGGTCTCTTCACGGTTAGGTAATATTCATTGGAACTCATTTTGCTAAGATATTAGTGTTATAATTTTACATTAGTTGCAGAAAATTTGAATTGCCCGGTCACAGGAAACCTAATACTCTACGTGAGTCAGATCGCGCACGCCAACGGTTTTGGCAGGCCTCTCAATAGGTTCGTTTCCCTCTCAATAGGTTCGTTTCCCACCCTATATTTTTCAAAATGTAAACAATTTGCTATAGCTGAGCCAAAGCGTCAAAGATTGCGATTGCCGTATTTTCATATCACAGAGACTGTCACGGTAACGATCAGTAGGCAATCTGACGTGCGTAGATCAGTGTGTTTTTATGAGCGGGAGGTTTGGATTCGCGCGTCTAGATGAAACATAAAATATCTTGGTTAGGAGTCCATTTCAGTAATTTTCGCTGCACAAATCGAGTTTTACGCTAAATTTTGGGTATGGAACATGTATCAGACTGCTTCGACTTCGTACCTTGTCTAGTGGACCAATAGAGAATTTGCAGGTGTCTGAAATTTGATGAATTTCGTGTTTAAGTGGAAAGTCCTGAGTGAACTGAACACGAGGATACAATTGGTTCATGAATTCAACAATTATTGGAGAAGATATGACAAAATGATCTACTCTGCTAAAATAAGTGTGTTTAAATGAGAAATACCGCCAGATGACGTCACAAAGCGGTGCATTTTCTCACTTTTAAATCTATTTTTATACTATTTCCCATACCGGAAAAAAATTATAAAAAATACTGCGGAATCAGCTACTTACGCACTTTCAGATGAAGCAATAAAAAATTTGAATGCAAATTCACCATTCCAGGATTTGAATTAGATACACAGAAATAGGATACGGTATGCTTTAAACAGCTAAGAACCAGCTGAATTAATAACATAAAATACACACACATATTAATCACATTAAATATCAAAGTTTAATCATTAGTTACATTTTTTTCTCTCAGAATTAAAATAAATCAGGGAATTTCTATGGTTTCTCTTCATACTTTTTATGAGAGTCTACGCACTGGAAAAAAAAAACACATTGAAGTGGTTTTCTTTTAAAGAATGGTTGAAACTTTATTAAGTGAAAAAATTGTACAAAAAATAAAATTTAAAAAAAAAAAAACTTTCATTTAGATGGCTTTGAGGAGTATGAATAATCGTAAGGATCTGATATTCGGAAGCGTGACATGTCGATCGAGTCGGGGTCGTAAGAAGTGCCGGCTCCATCGTCAGAGGGGGTGGAGGGTCCGGAGCGTGGCTCACTGTGGAAGAGTTGTATCATCGGACTCGTTAATTTGTAAACGTCGAAACCGACGCCCATCGTTCGTTTCTGTACCAGTAAATGTCCCTGAGAAATAAAACAAATCTATAGAACGAAACACATTATCGCCTACACGAAGAAATGGAGATGTTGCATGTGTGAGGGATTTGCGATTTGACCATTGATTCTTATGTAAAAGTTTACGAGAAACACGATGGTGCCGCTGGTTTTCTCTGAAATCATCTCCCAAGCTCAAAAAAAGCTCTCAAAGTGAGGCCAAAATGGAGGGGATATCCCACCCTACCCTGAGAGTCCACCTCTACATCAAAACAAACTCCTCATGCAAAGATAGGGAGCAACACTAATCTGTGGGGAGCAAATACATTAGCAGGGTTGCCGTGTTTTCAGTTTTGGAGTCCCCAAATGAAGTGGCAGCCCTATGTCAATGTATTTGCTCCCTATCTTTGCATAGAGAGTTTGTTTGATGTAGAGGTGTACTCTAAGGGTAGGGTGGGATATCCCCTCCATTTTGGCCTCAACTTGAGAGCTTTTTTTGAGCTTGGGAGTTGATTTCAGAGAAAACCAGTGGCACCATCGTGTCTCTCGCAAACTTTTACATAAGAATCAATTGTCACATCGCAAATTCCTCACACATGCAACATATCCGTTGAAGTCAAAGCTTCACATTTTAATCGCTGCACTGGAAAAAAACACATTGGATCTAGACGAGTCCAGTTGGATTAGAGTCCAGACTCTTAAAAACATTGACAAGAAAAAGTACTCTTTGATTCAATCAGAATCTAGCTTAAATCAAGAACCAAGCCTCTTAATTTAAGCGGACTTCGTTTTGATTCAAGCAAAAATCCGATTGAATCAAGAATATTTTTTTCTCGTTAATGTTTTCAAGAGTCTGGACTCTCTCTAGATCCAAAGTTTTTTTGTTTTTTTTCTAGTGCATGTGGGACTGGAATACCTTTGTAGACAGAGTGTGGCCATTTGTATCTTTTTACTACAGGAAAACTGTGCCGCTTTTTGATTGGTCAACGAGTTTTTGGGCTTCATGATGCTCTTACGGCCGTAAATAAACAAACAAGATGGCGGCTCACCGTGACATTGATAGGAAGCTAAAATTTGACAAAAATTTCAATTACACGGCAGTAACATTTTAAAGTAGCATGTCTGCGAATAACACGATTCTCCTAATAAAGGTAAAACTTGTCAGGGGAAATTTGGCAACGTTGAAATTTAGTTAGGATCTTTCGTGAGGAAATCGACGATTCAAACGCATACCAATCTACCAATATCAATGCGGCTACCTCACCTATAACTGATTCTTTAAGATGGTTATGAATATAAGGAACCCAATTGTGCCAACTAAGAGCTCCGTCAATGATCGAACGAAGTTCTTTCATGTGGAACAGAATATTACAGAAAGTTGACGACTATCACTATATATGCGGAAACGATCTTGAGCAGGAAAATTTAAAAGAATAATAAATTATACCACATACCTCCATACCCCAGTCAGCGCCCCAGCTATTCCGGATAATCCAACAATCTGGAATGAAACATTGGACACCAATCGTCTCTTAATTAGACAAATCAAGTAATCAAGGCCAAGAAAAGCGAAGTTATCTTACAAACTTCCTTTTCAACATTCATAAGTTTGCGAATTGTGTATGTAGTATACCGAAAAAAAAGCCTGGTATAGTGGTACAGGTGCACCCGTGCGCACCCTGTTCAAGCTCGGAGGTTAGATTGCCACTTACTATGTTTACAGTTTCGTAAGGACGTTGACGATTAATATTTTCGTTCAAATGTATTATTTTGGCACTTTTGTCACAGGCTTTTTTTATAAAAAAAATTAAAATAATTATTAAAACTGGCAAATTTCATCTGTTACAATTTGGAAATTCGCTAAAGTAGTCGAAAAATTATTGAAAAACGGATTGTTTTGGTTAATATTTCATACAATACGGATGTTTTGAATAGCTACGCATTTATTTTCTCGCCATCAATTGAATTATTGGATCCAAGTCTCGATGACCATTTTCACAAGGTAGTAAAAGTAATGTCAAAGTATTAACAAGATCATAATTATAATTATAATGTAACAAAAAGAGTGTACCATTGGGTCTACGTGAATAGTGTCCGACGATCACAACCGCGTGGCCAGTTGGAGTATCATGCATCGATGGATGTAGAGCAAGAACTCCCCGCACATAGAACTGAAATGAAAAAGTTCCACCAAAATAAGTGAACGTAAATTTTTACCACGAGGAGGGTCTCGTAGCTTCCTCGTTTACGGGTGACATCTAGGGACTCAAGTCAATGGATACGAGCTGCAGAGGAGTAGACGAAGGGGTTCCAGGGGGTTTGGGCCCCTCCTTTCCCCCTTAGTCTCGTAAATTGTACCTTTTTTTACTTTTGGAGGGTAGACATAAAATATTATCAGGGACGTACACAACATAATGTAAATTCCCCGTCACGGATCCCCCCCCCCTTAAAGAATTCCTGGCTACGCCACTAGCGAGTTGCATTCGTCAAGTAAGTTTGCATAAACGAGGAAGCTACACGAGGTCCATCTAGAGTCCCCTTATACTGAGAGTCAAGACAATGTGAATCCATTTCTGATTGGTTCCCGTATTTTAGGCCTTCACAGTGTCACAAACGGGAATAAAAATTACATTTTCACTGATTGCAAAGATTATAATCTGGAATGGACCAGGGAAATACGGGTTTGGCAAGGAACTAACGGAATGTGAGAAGGAACAGAGAAAGGAATTTGAGAATGGGCCAATCAAAGATAACAAAAAACGTTCAATTTCTGTAATCTTTATTCCCGTTTGTGACTCCATGCGGGGGTGTTGTCTTGACTCTCAGTATAAAGGGACTTCAGGCCCACCGAGCCCAAGGAGCTTCCTGGGAAAAGGGAGCACATCGAAAAATCGCGTTTGGAGAGCATTTGACGTTGTCATTATTACTTTCTAGCCACTAACGGTGATTTGTATCGGAAATTGGAGTTCAAGCTGTATGTAAGTCACCGTAAGTGGCTACAATGTAATTTTGGAAACTTCAGATGCATTTTTCTCAAACGCGATTTTTTGCTTGACACCCTTCTCCCGAGAAGTTCCTCAATTGGTCCTCATTGTGCATTGAGCAGGAACTCACATTTCTGACCCATTTCAGAAAAGACTTAAATGTCAATAATTTTTTAATGCAAACAGGTGATTTTCTAAGTTAGTAGTAGTATATTAGGTCCTCAACGCATGTTAAAGCTAATTAAGTTTCAACTAGATATGTCTCCGTGGTAACAGAGTTCTATGTACATACGCACCGTAGCGCTATAAACCCGTGTGAGTAAAGTCATATCCACAGTATTATTATGACTATTATTATGAAGTTGAATAGATATTCAATAGTTCTGATCGTTGCTAAATGTAAGCAACAACGCACAATGTAATTCGATCGTCAAACCTGAAATAAATGAAACCTCTCTGCTGCTAAGTAAGCAACACCCAACATACTTTGGAGACTCAAACGAGACGTTAAGAAAGTAGCGAATATATTTTTATAGGCAATAAATTATCTCGCTTGATTGGAACGCTCTTCATGTCATCCTATATCAACTTAATCACGCGGGGTCTACAAAGATGCTTTCGGGGGTTTGCGAGGGAAGGAGGGGACATTTGAGCTACAAAACGCTGTAAAAGATACTCAAAAATTTTTTTAAGATTTCAATAGTCTCGGCACCCCAGGCGCTAATAGATCGGCTGAAAACCGGACGGAGACTTTGATTTAAGGCTTTTTGTGTTTCCCTCCTCTGCCACACCATTTTTTTTCCATTTATTTATTCTTTTCTTTTGATGGGGGCGGGGCAACTCCAGAAAAATGCAGTACTTTGTGAAAAAAGGGTGGTGCAAAAACGTTAAGAGACCGATGAATAGTTAATCTTAAAGGTATAATCTGCCTTCTTCAATAATCATTTGTCAATATTCAAACGATTCTGAAGAATTCAATAGTTACAATGCGTTATTTCAACCGAAGTTGTATGCCTGTCTGTCAAACCTCCAAAAAATGAGAGATGAAAGAAAAGGATCGGTCTGCTTCAGCGCCGACCGCAAATATCGTCAACGATTTCTCGCGAAAACCTTAGAAAACTTAGGAACAGCGGCGTGGCGTGCTTTGCGATCCATCGATATTTCTCCATTCGAAGCTGTGGTAAATAATGAATTTCGCTGCGAACACCCTGTTTATCGATGCTTTTCCATAGGTTTAAATGACCGATTAATCGATATGTCGCAGGCAATTAGCAATCGCCGGCAATTTGCAAGCGGCTCACACGTTGTTTCAATAATGCGCATCGGCATAATTCAATTTTCAAGGGTTATGGTCTTCAAAAGTATGAGCTTGGCTTAAAACGCCTTCATTTTTTGTGATACTCTACGCTTCGTCACGATGTTAGTTTAGTTGCCTATCCGATCTCAACCCAACTAGTATCACGCAGTTCACTACACGTTCTTCTGAGTGCGCATATTCCTGCCATGTTTTAAGGATGGAAAAGTGTCAATCCATATTATAGGAAACATAACCAGCACTCTAATCTGGTTTTTTTTTCTATTTGAATTTTAAGATTTTCTATATTTATTCACCACTGGCTTGTAAATTGCCGGCAATTTCCAATTGCCTGCCACATACATACTCACCTATGCTCTGGTATTGATGATTCAATTGTGAGTTTTTGTGGACGAAATTACTTTTTTATTTTTTCCGAGGACAGGCACGTATTTCATAAAGAAAGAATTACACTTTCATTTTAACTAAAGGATGATTGTCGTTTTCTAAAAAGACAATTCTTTCCCAAAAGAAGCACTATCGTCCGATTGTTAATTGCCTGTGAAAGGTATATCGCGAAGCACGCCACGTCACTGCGTATTAGGAGCCATGGACGAAAACGTGCATTGAGGGACTAACCGGGGCAAATGACTTACTCTAAGAATGGAAGGGCTATTGGGCCACGTGGCCGACAGGGGACTCTCATTCAAAGCATTTTCCATGACGAAGTCCTGCGCCCAAGCGGGCTGTATACCCCGTGCCGGGTCGCCCTGTCTGCTCAGCTCCTGATAGTCGGTTATCCTCACGTATGGCTTGGACTCGTAATCACAGTAACCGTTGTCCGCGATGAAAGGGTAGTTTTCCGCCAAAGTCACACCATAAGTCTTCAGGTAATCCAAGCCGTTTCTGATGGTGCCGCCGTAACACCCTGAATTCTCAGCCACGCAGTCGATCAGATCTGCGGATAACAGTAAGAGCATCCAATTAGAACGTAAGTACTTACACTCGTTCCGCCCTCCTAAGAAGGATCATACTGCCTTGCCGAGGAAGAGCGCCGTATGAGCCTTCAGACGTTGCTAAGTTTCCTCCGATAAAAACCGAAATTACTGGGGAAATGTTGAATATTATTTCCCAAAAATTTCGGACAATTTTGTTCGCAGTTTAATGTAAAATATCTGAAAATTTCAAGGAAGAATATGCATGAATGTTGTCAAAATACATGTTTTGTCGAGGGAAATTTGGCAATTTTCGAATGTTCATGCGGCGTTCTTCCTTGGTAGGGCAGCATAGCACTGCCGTGACAGCAAAGAGAGCCGTATATGCAAAAATATAGTTGTGGAAAAATTGACCTCTTAGTATGTCCCAGCGTAAATGGTTATTGAAAAGTCTTCCGTTTTTTGTAAAATTGTCAAATATCAACCAGAGGACCCTAGGTAAGGGGCCATTCAAGTATTACGTAACGCACTAAAGGGGGGTGTTGGAGCTGGCGTTACGGTACGTTACAAAGGAGAAGAGGGAGTCAAGCCCAGCGTTACGTAAAATGTGAGATGGGGGAAAAACTTTAAAATAACGTGCAAAAAATGAAAAATCTAATAATGCACTTTCACACCTTGATCTTTTCCTGTCGGAATTCAGCGAAGTTAGGCGAGACACCTAGCTGTTCTTGCTATTTTCTGCATTTTCTCGTGGCTGCGTTTCGGACACTTACATTATGTAACGAAAAACGCCGTTCGTACATTCGAATGTTGGCAAATTTCTCACAAAGAAAGTTATGCATTTTTTCCTTTGAATATCTGAAAAATTGGGAGAAAAATATTCACAACTTTTTCAATGAATCTGTGTCTTTCCAAAGAAAATTTAGCAACCCCTGAGGGTCCATACGGCGGATATCCTTGGCACGACAGCATTCTACTCACAGTCAGCCTTAACTCTGAAAATTGGAGAGTCTAAAGCGTCAAACATATTCTGTCAGCCATCGGTGAAAAATAGTGACTCGAACAGCCGGTAGATAGGTCACTGACAAAAAATGAAGCAATTACTCGCAAAAAAGAAGGAATAAAACTTCGAGTCCAAATCTTGATTCAACTGTCTTCTCAATCTTAATTTAACGAATAAAAAAAATATACGGCATTTAAGAAAAAAAAATAGAGTGGAATATACAATAACAAACTGATCCGTTAGTTTTTAATGGCCTTTACCTTGTTTTGAGAACATGACGACCTCCCTTTCTTGATGGGCCCAGAGGATTTCCACAGCACTAACACACGCAAATGACCAACAGCATCCACAGTTCTTGTTCCCTATGGACTGTCAACCAAGGAAATTATAATTTATAAGTATCAAGATTGCAGTAAATTTGTGCAAGAAAATCATATAAAATTGGATTCTCGATCACTGCACGCGATTACTAGGGATTATAGAGGAGCAGTGACATGAGCGGCGACAACCCAGTTAGACAAAAAATATTTTTAAGAAATTTTAAAAATATTAAATTAATATTTTCACAAAATATTTTTAAAAACTTTTTATATTATTTTTAAAATCTACTCATGTTAACCTCAGTTAATTTGAAAAATATTTTTTGAATATTTTCAAAATATTTCTTGAATTTTTTCAAAGTATTGTAAGAATATTTTAAAAATATTGCACAAGTATTGCATCCTAGAGTGCGCGCTCTCTAGGTGATATGTTTGGTACTAATGTTCTTCCGAACGTGCACATGCGTTGCTACCAGGTGGTGGATCATCGTAGAGTTGTGACTTACTTTAAAATCCGCGCCGTCCTAGTCGGGATTAGAACCCACGCCTCGGGATGGAGTTGCAATCCGTAGTCCAGTACTTTACCACCAGACCAGCCAGGCTTCCTACAGATGGGCCCCTAAATTCAATCTCTTAACTATCGCAGGCCTCTGAGTCCGTAATATGTTTGTTTATTGACGGATTCTTATGATATTTTACCAGACTTTATTATTTATTATTTTTTTATTGTTTTTTATTTCATCATGTAATTTTTTCATTCTCATTTTTTTTAACTCTCTCTCATTTTTTTTTAACTATCTCTTTTTTTTAAAGTATAATTTTTTTTAACTCATTCTTTTTTTTTAACTCTCATTTTTTTTAACTTTCTCTTTTTTTTATTTTTTTTTTTTTTTATTTTTTTTTAAAACCAAATTAACGTTTTTTATAATTGCGTCTTTTTCCAGTTTTAATTATTTGGGCCTTTTTCTAGTTTGAATTTATGTCGATGTATTTATGTTATTTATTTATTGTTATTATTTCTTTTTTTTCTTATAATTTTTATAATATTAATTCAAACATTTTAAAAAAATTTAATATTTTAAAAATATTATGAAATATTATTTTTAAAATATTAACAAAAATAATTATGATATATTTTAACAATATTATAAAATATTATTTTAAAAATGTTTACTTTTTATATTTTTAAAGTATTTTTGGAATATTTTAAAAATATTATAAGATATTATTTTTAAAACGTTTACTTTTAAAATTTTTAAAATATTTTTAAAACATTTTAAAAATAATATTTTATAATATTTTTAAAATGTTTACATTTTATATTTTAAAAATATTCCACAAACATTTCAAAAATATGTCATATTTTATATTTTAAAAGTATTTTGAAAAATATTTTTGGAATACTTTTAAAACATTCTTGAAATATTTTAAAAATATAAAGAAGAAAATATTTTCTGTAAATATTTTTGAAATAAGGTGCATATTTTTAAAATATTTTAAAAATATTGCTGTCTAACTGGGAAAGCCGTAGCGGGGGTCACTCTTCCCCCGCATTAACTCATGAGCCCTGTCCACAACGCTCTTGTCACATGTCCACGGCTCATAAGTCCCAGAGACATTTGCCACACGGTTCCGTTTCGTGGATTTAAAATCCCGTTTTTACAATTATTTTATAGGCGAATCGCGCACACTGACACATTATTTCTTAATGAAAAATGAAATCTTGAATTTTTACGTGAAATTTATCATGAAAGAGCCTCCCAAACTTTCGCCACTTTATCGGTATTCGATTCGACCATCGGACCAAGGTTTAAGTGGAAGCTTATAATAACAGAAGACTCAGAAAAAAATTTCAAGATGAGTATAGGAACCGTTTTTTCAGTTACGGCGAGGGGGGGGGAGAGGGGTCAAACTCCGGCCTTATTTTTCGCTATTTTCTTGTTGAATTGATGTGCCCACAAGATTGTTATCGTTGTTTACACATGTTATACACACCGGTTCCTACGTATTTTTACACGCAAAATCAAGTTTTAATATTGACGAGTCGATATATCGATCGAATATATAGATTTTCCTAGATTCTTTACGGAAAATCGACCATTTTTTGAGATTGAAATCGTTCGTTTTTTATTCATGGATGACTAAATGAACCTTATATGACTTTAGTGCACCGACACCTACGTATTATTTCTTGTAGAATCGATATTTAACGTTAACGAGTCGCTATAACAATCGCTTACATCGAATTTTTGCGCTTTTTTTTTAGGAAAATCAATGATATGTTGGTATTGAAATTGGTTATTCTCCATCCGAGAACAACCAAATTTTGGGTTGGAACACATTTCCGGTCGGGTCGATTTCCAGTTAAGTCAAGTTTTCGATTTGGGCACATTTCCGGTCGAGTAAAAATTAAGATTTTCGATTTCCGGCCAAGTGAAATTTCGGGTGGATAACGAATCCCGTTGATTGTGGTTTCCGGTCGGTCAGATTTCCGATCGAATCAAATTTTCAGTCAAGTCAAATTTTTGACAGGGACACGTTACCAGTTGGAAACAGTTTCCAGTTGGGTTAATTCCCGGTCACGTCGTGTACGGATGGATTACGTTTCCAAAGAATTGGAATTTTGGGATGGGTCAGATTTCAGGTTGGATCGAATTTCCAGTTGGGTCATGATTCCGATTGGGGCCACGGGGCTGGCCCCCGGCTTTGGCTCAGTAGGGTTCTGGGGGCTCGGCCCCGGCTTTGGCTCCGTAGAGTTCAGGGGGCTGGCCCCCGGCTTTGCCTCCGTAGTGTTCAGGGGGCTGGCCCCCGGCTTCGACCCCTTAGTGTTCAGGGGGCTGGCCCCAGGGTTTGGCTCCTTTTTGTTCAGGGGGCTGGCCCCCGGGTTTGGCTCCTTGGTGTTCAGGGGGCTGGCCCCTAGTTCCACCTCCTTAGGGTTCAGGGGGCTGGCCCCGGGCTTCGGCTCCGTAGTGTTCAGGGGGCTATGCCCCGGCATTGGCTCCTTAGTGTTCAGGGGGCTGGCCCCCGGGATCGGCTCCTTAGTGTTCGGGGGGCTGGCCCCCGGCTTTGGCTCCGTAGTGTTCAGGGGGCTGGCCCCCGGGATTGGCTCCTTAGTGTTCGGGGGGCTAGCCCCCGGCTTCGGCTCCTTAGGGTTCAGGAGGCTGGCCCCCGGCTTTGGCTCCTTAGTGTTCAGGGGGCTGGCCCCCGGGTTTGGCTTCTTGGTGTTCAGGGGGCTGGCCCCCGGCTTTGGCTCCGTAGTGTTCAGGGGGCTGGCCCCCGGGTTTGGCTTTTTACGGTTTAGGGGGCTTTGACTTCAACCCCCTGAACACTAAGAAGCCAAAGCCGGGGGCCAGCCCCCTGAACAGTAAGGGGCCAAACCCGGGGGCCAGCCCCCTGAAACCTACGGAGGCAAGACCGGGGCCAGCCCTCTGAACCCTAAGGAACCATACCCGGGGGCCAGACCCCTGAACACCAAGGAGCCAAACCCGGGGGCCAGCCCCCTGAACAGACTGAACACTAGGGAGCCAAAGGGGGGGGCTAGCCCCCTGAACCCTAAGGAGCCGAAGCCGGGGGCCAGCCCCCTGAACCCTAAGGAGCCAATCCCGGGGGCCAGCCCCCTGAACCCTACGGAGGCAAGACCGGGGCCAGCCCTCTGAACCCTAAGGAGCCAATCCCGGGGGCCAGCCCCCTGAACCCTACGGAGGCAAGACCGGGGCCAGCCCTCTGAACCCTAAGGAACCATACCCGGGGGCCAGACCCCTGAACACCAAGGAGCCAAACCCGGGGGCCAGCCCCCTGAACGCTACGGAGCTAAAGCCGGGGGCCGGCCCCCTGAACACTAAGGAGCAAAACCTTGGGGCCAGCCCCCTGAACCCTAAGAAGCCAAACCCCAATCCATATGTAACATGTCTAAACAACGATAANTAAGGAGCCGAAGCCGGGGGCCAGCCCCCTGAACCCTAAGGAGCCAATCCCGGGGGCCAGCCCCCTGAACGCTACGGAGCTAAAGCCGGGGGCCGGCCCCCTGAACACTAAGGAGCAAAACCTTGGGGCCAGCCCCCTGAACCCTAAGAAGCCAAACCCCAATCCATATGTAACATGTCTAAACAACGATAACAATCCTGTGGGCACATCAATTCAACAAGAAAATAGCGAAAAATAAGGCCGGAGTTTGACCCCTCTGCCCCCCCCCTCGCCTTAACTCGAAAACGGTTCCTATACTCATCTTGAAATTTGTTCCCGAGTTTTCTGTTACGATAAGCTTCCACTCAAACCTTGCTTCGAACGTCGAATCGATTAGTGAAAAGGGGGTGAACGTTAGCCCTTATTTTGGGAGGCTCTTTCAGAAATCTATGAAAGATGTTGGAAAATACCGGTCATTGGCGTGGCGTGAATTGCGATATATCGATTGTTATGCCACTTAAACTTATGGAAAAAGATTGATAAATAGGGTTTTCGCAGCGAACACCTTAATAATCGATTCTTTAGCATAGGTTTAAATGACACAACAATCGATATATCGCAATTCACGCCACGCCACTGATACCGGTTCTAGGTATTTCATGTTTCGAAAAATGTAAAAACTCTGACTTTTTTTCAATTTTTGTGTCTAGGTGCGGTTTGCATACTCTAGCCCCTGAAAAATGTGAAATATGTCAGAGCCAACATAAATTTTATAAAAAAAACTTCACTGACATTTCCATTCCTTCATTTCTCTCTTATACGTTTCATGCCACCCCGCACCTACCCCATCTTTCCCACCCGCACATAGTTATGTTTGGTAGAGACACGTCCAATTGACCCTGGTCCGTTTTTATAATCGCCATCACTACAATATACAGGCACTCTACTCAAAAACAAGAGAATCTCCACTAGCCTCTTGGCGACAAGTGGAAGCTTTTACTTTCGGGGATTCAACACTTCCTAATGGACAATTATAGGGGAGATTTCTTAACCAAGATACGAGTGGAGGGTCTCTTGTCTCTGACTCTCCTTCGGCCCCAGCGGGCCGATTATTGAAATTGATAGAGAAAGCTATAGACAAAGAAGACATAAGAAGTATAGAGCGATCCTATCGGTTGAAATGGGTATAGTTCTTATAGACTAAGGGAGAAAATGATGGACTAACTATCGGGTCTCTCGTGGGTTGCCGGTTGTTGGTCTATTACCTACGTCCTTTGTCCATTGCAACCACCCGCTTCCACCAATAGGATCCCTCCATATCCTTTTTTTCCTCTTTGTCTATTGCTTTGTCTATCAATTTCAATAATCAGCCCGCAGGATGCCGGTCCAGGTCCTCTTAGCACTCACCTGATTCTCAACGGGGGGATAAAGTCGAGCAGGGACACGCCAGTCTTTAGCGGGGCGGCCATTGGGGTCAGGACCGATGATCCGAGGAATTTCTTCCTCTTGCTGTTGTGGCTGCCGTCGCCGCCTCCTTCGCCTATTCCCATTCTCATCGTCATCTTCCATCCTGCAGGTCCTATCATTTGATCGTCCGAGTGAGAAAGATCGCTCATCCGCGCTCAACGCGGTCCTGGGGGGCGACCACGAGCGCCTGCCCGACCTCCCCCTGGAATCGGCTCTCTGAGGGGAGGCAGATTGAGAGCGGTCTTTGGAGTTACTCCTTTTGAATGGGTTAAGCCCTCGCGTTCGTAAATTCTGCGTCTTGCTTTCCTTTCTCGATGGAGGTTTGCTGGTCTTTCTAGACGGAGGTTTGCTCAGCTCTCTAGACGGAGGTTTGCTTATCCGTCTCGACGGAGATTTGCTCATCTGTCTCGACGGAGGTTTGCTCATCTTTCTAGGCGGGGACTTGCCTTTCATCACCTCGTGCCGTTTTTGACCCGCTTTTTGACTTGCGCTCATCACGTATTTCTCCTCGAATTCTTCCTCTGGTAATAGTATAAAAGATGCAGAATTAGTGTCATGTCGTCGCAAAGGCGATTAGCATGGGTGGGGGGGCTAAGGAAAGGCTAGGGGAAGGGTCTGGGTAGCTTACTCAGAAAATTTTCGAAATTGCAAAGCATCTAAAATGCAGCGTAAGCCAATTTTTCAAGAATGAGTACCAAATGTGAACGTCCTTTTTTCTTCTCTCCTCCGTTTCTTTCTTTTTACATTTCTTTCCTTTTTCTTAATTTTTTTCGGGCAAACGGAGTGCGGGCCTGTATACAACCCCTACGCTCCCCCCCCCTCGCCTATGTGTCGTCGTTTCCGAAAAAAAGAACGTGACTTCATTCCAATGTTGCAAAATTGACTCAAACGGATTTTATTTTTGACAAAAAAGTACCTGTGCGATTTTTAGTGTTCAAATAGTTCAAATAGTTGTATCATTGCGCCTTAGAAATGCGACGGAAGATTACAATTGAAATAGCCTTCATGCGCGCTGGCCTTTTCGATTTCCGTTAACATTTTTGCAGTCATGAATGCGCTTAAGTGCGCTTCAGCTAAAATTGTATTTAGCAAATGGGTGGTTTTTATAGGAGGATTATCATTAAACAAGTGGTTAGAAATGGAAACAAAAAAATATGAACTATGCAAAAAGATTATTCCGATAACGGAACTTGGCTGTTTTGAAAACGCCTTCAAATGCGGCGTGATACCTCACGCATTCCGGAGAGTTCAAATAGTCGTATCATTGCGCCGTAAGAATGTGACGTAAGATTTAAATGGAAATAGCCTCCATGCACGCTGGGCGTGTCGATTTCCTTTGACATTTTTGCAGTGGTGAATGCATAGCTGAAGTGCGCTCCAGCTAGAATTGTATTTAGCAAATGGGTGGTTTTTATAGGAGGATTAAAAATAAACGATTGGTACGGAATATAACAAAAGAATATGAACTATGCAAAACGATAATCTGAAGAGCTTGGCTGTTTTGAAAACGCCTTCAAATGCGGCGTGATACCTCACGCATTCCGGAGAGTTCAAATAGTTGTATCATTGCGCCGTATGAATGTGATGGAAGATTTAAATGGAAATAGCCTTCATGCAGGCTCGCCACATCCCATCTCGAGCCCTGGTACCAGTTTTAAGTTCCGGGCCTCAAGCACGGAGGGAGGGGGGGTCCAAGGGGCATCTCCCGAGAAATTTTAGAATTTATACGACTAATCGGACGCATTTTGAAGCTTCCATAAAGAATTTTTCCATCAATTTCTTCGGAATAATTAAGTTTTTTTTCTACTTTCAGCACAAAATACTTGCGAATTGTTGCATTCAAAACATCTGGAAAATTTTAATTTATTTTTTTTTTTTTGGGGGGGGGGCATATGATACTATTTTCAGTTCTAAGGGGGCCAGGCCCCCCTGGACTCCCCCTTCGTTTGTCTATGGCAAAGGAGTTGAGCCATGAGCCATTGAAGTCGAGGATGCCCAGACTGGAGACTCTTGGCATCTGACGACGGAAGAAAATGAAAGGCAGTTACTAAAAATATCCCTCTGTACTGAAAATCTTGGAAATAGATAGAAATTTTCCAAGAAGAATACTTCTTTGAAAATTTAAGAAGAATTCCACAGTGCCCTAGCGTGTTTTTGAAAATCTATTCACGTTTTTCGAAATTTTTAGGGTAAATTTTTCACTTTTTCCTACGAAACAAGGGTGCATGTGAATTCGTAGTGGTTTTTCACGGGTAACACGGGCCTCGGTACCAGAAACCCAGTATCCCCCCCCCCTTGTAGCGGGTCTGCCTGTATCTTCGGTCCACGTGACCGGACTTTCAAAATCAAACCGAACTACAAAAAAATTTGGTTGCGTGAATCAAGGCTTCGGTTCCTACAACTGAAATAGCGGTTATACGTACATAAACCGCCGTTGAGGCGGCGTAAGGCCGCGATATTGAACACCGTATTTACGGTTCAGATTCACCTTTTCTCTCAGGTGCGTATCATATTTCATGTAGATAAATCCAAACAAATTGTTACTTATATATAATACCGTTTTAAAATTGTTACTTTATACATATTCTATTCAAATAAAATCCTTGAAAACATGTATATCTGGAGATAAAATGAAAATGATATGGGGTGACACCTTGGAAAGAACATTAATATACCTAATGTGAAGAAAGGAATTGATGAAAAAGTATAAAAATATATTTCAAGTTTTGAAAAATGTATCCTAATTTAGAGGAAAATAATTTAATACCTGCCATTCTGTATTTACCGCCTTTCGGGTGCTCAACGTCGTCGAATAAGGTTTTCCTTAGATCTTCTGAACAAGTTTTTTTCCAGCTAATAAAGTAACTGTGAGTAAAGGACAGTGCGGTGGCAGTTCTTGCACATAACACAGTTAGCAACATTTTATTTTTCCTCTCTTTAAAATAAATATATTCTAGGTAATTAATTCTAGTAACGACTCACTGTCTAAAAGCATGTCTACCGTTCGACACGCATTTTAGTGAGAGAAATTTAGTGTTGTTAACCTCCAAGAATCGCCCTAGGGACAATGTGGCACTTACCGGTAAGGTCCGCGAATTTATTGACTCCGAAAACGGCAGTGTCTTCGCGCTCAGCTCTTTGGTCGTTGAGCCGTTTGATTTCTGCCAAATTTTTCTCAAAGATTTTAAATCGTTTCTCTTCCTCTTCTGCCGTTGCGTAATTTTTACCCCACGTTTGTTTGAACACCTCAAATTGGGCTCCCGCGCCCATCTTCGCCAACTGGGACTAGGGACAGAATTTGAAGTTAAATGGAGGATATTGGAACATTAAACATTGGAACATTTAAATGGAGGAGTCTAGAATAAAATGAACATTAAACCTCTGTCGTTCCAAAGAAGCCAAGATAGTTAAATTGCAGCAACGCGTATCTAGTTGGCTGTATTTCAAAATATCTGCTCCAATTTTATTCAATCAGAAGTGAACAAACCACCGCCGGTCAGATTGGCCTTGTGATCAGCGCGTCTGACTCTAGATCAAAAGGTCTCGGGTACGAATCCCGGTCGTAGCGTCAAATTTTCTCGGAACTGACGAGTGGATCTACAGATTATATCCGGCCTTAATCGCTGAAAACTTTAAAAGCCTGGAGCATGGATATGCCAATCCCTGATAGCTGTAAGTTCATAACGGAATATATGTATGAGTTTTTAAAGTTATGGTTAAGTCAAAAATACTCATACGTCGACTTCGAATTGCTCTGTGATGCGAGAAGTACATAGACGTTCTACATTTTTAAATGTACATGTTAAACGTGTGTAACATGTAAATATTAACACTTAACATGAGTACATTTAACATGTTCACCTGATATTCAGCTTCGGCCAGATTGACTTGATGCTCGAGGGGCAGCCATGTCTTCGTGGTCCCCGGGCACTTGGGGAGTGAGTATCCGCCAAGTTGTTCTTCGTTGAAGACACAATCGCATTTCTCCTTGAAGCAGCCACCGCGAGTCCACGGAATGTTGTGCAGCGAGGCTTTGCCCCACGTCATCCGGCAGAAATTGTCGCACTCTTTCGCGTCCGCGGCGCTTTTGCAAGCGCTTCCATCTCCAAGAACTGCCAGCAAACATATAAAGCGATTCCTGACTTATTTTCCGGGATAATACGCAAAGTGCAAAGCCCAAAAACATAAACGAGACAGAGAAAAAAAAAAAAAAAAAAAAAAAAAATTAAAAATGGTAACAGAAAGTTACCGATAGATTAGATAGATTCTTAGATAATATACCGACAGAAGAGGTATGCTAATTCAACATTCAGGGTGTAAAAAAAATTATGCGATAACTCACAAAACGCTGAATTAACCGCTACTGTACTTAGTTAAGCAATGTCAAGATGTGAAACTAACTGTTGCTGCGGTTACTTCAGCGTTTTGTGCGTTGTCGCACACTTTTTTTACAACCAGAATGTTAAATCAGCATCCATTTTTTGGGTGTAAAACCCTAGAAGGCAGGACGTTTTTTACTATCACAAGTTCATTTTAAGCTTAGGAAAAAAAAGAAAAAACGGAAAAATCAGAGGCGCTCTTTTCCTAGTAGCACTTAGTAGCTCGCGTAGCATGAGTGATTGCGTGATTCCAAGTCGCCACTAATATTTGATTAACCTTTACGGAGATTTGCAACTCAGAATGAACCCTTGCAGACTCAAAACGTCCTGATTTTCTTGTGGTTTAATATTTCAGCTTAGTTCTCCTAGCTTTGTTACCTTTTTATCCTGTCAGGTTTTCCAGGGAATTAATTCGTGACCATTCGCCGGGAAATGGCACCCAGAATGGCGTTAGCGTAATCATTCTAACAGATATCCTATTCTCAATGATAAATTGACCGATCAATTATTTGGAGCAGACATTTCCTGAAATAGCTACTAGCGGGTTTAGCTCTCAGAAAATCTATGGAAGGAGGCGTCTGCCGCGTGCCTTCAAAAGGAGGAGATGCTGCCGTTATAGCAAAGAGAGCAGTAAGTGTCAACTTTTCGAAATCTAGTTTTTTTTTTAAAAAATCCATTTAATCTCTTCTAGATGAAATCACTAAGGTAGCAAAAATAGCAAAATTCATCCTATAACTATACGAAAAGAATAGACACATGAGAAAGCCGTAAGTGCGCAAAAAATGACGTAGTTTCAGGGAAAACAGCCGTAGGTGCCATTACTCCTCCAGAGAGCCAATGAAAACAGTGCTTTCGAGCAGAGTATCGCTCTCTTTGGCCAATTTTGAACCTGAAAATATGTTTTTTGGGGGTCCAAGACGCAGCCCTGACAGACAGCATGCAGAAGACAGCACTTACGGCTGTTTTGCCTAACACTATAGTCCAGGGTTGCACGAGTGAAATGAAAAATATTAAATATTGAAAATTGTCATGAAATATTTTATGAAATTTCACAGAGTTGTGAAAAATATGAAACGCATTTTTACGGGCTGCGTACGCAACACGCACTTAAAAACACCAAGAGGCAAAAATCAATCGCCTTTCTCTTAATTTTGCATTTAATGTCAAAAAATGTTTTCATATTTTTCTGAAATTTCATGAAATATTTCACATGAAATTTCAAGATTTTATTTTTCATGAAAAATTGCAACCCTGCTATAGCCTAGCATGAAATTAAAAAATACCCTTCATCAATAATTGAAATAAAATCGGTCGATTTCTAATCATCCGAATGATTTCTACGAGTCTTCCGAATGACTAGTAGCAGTTTGACAAAGAACGGAGGCATCCTCCGATAAAATTTTCCTGTCCGATGCTTCTGAGCCCCGTTTCCTCAAAACTTCATTTGAATCAGTGAGTTGGAAAACACACCAACTCGGAAAAAAAATTGCTCAGGAAACACCTAAAAGTGCGCAGCGGGCGAAGAAGTTGGCTTAAGAAAAACCTTTTTGGTGCCAAAGGACAAGTACTTAGAGACTTTGTAAAGCGCCAAGTTGAAATCGATACACCATGTTTGATGACAGAGAATGAAGCGCTTAAAAATTTCCGAGTGGGTGTGTTTCCGTTCTCTCCGATTATCAGATACTGATTTTTCATAGTCTGCCCTGAAAAATTTATATTTTTCGACCTGCAGAACGCTTGAATATTTATACAACTTGCTGGTACAAGGTATACTGAACTGAGCCAAGAAACCCGCAAAATCGGATGGTCACCCGTTTCCCTTGAAATGGCCAAAAATGGGTATTTCCAATGAAATACTTCGATTCTTCCCCTTTCCCGTCGCTGTTTCGAGCAATTCCGATTGCAATTTCGAAATTTCCTTTTGCCTGCAGATGCCTCTGTCCATAGGTGTTACTAAACCGTAAAAAAGTGAAAATTGAACAAAAACCCAAGTTGGTGTGTTTTCGAACTCACTGATTCATTTGTGCACTTACTGCTGCCTTCCCTATCGCAGCAGTATGGTGTATCCTCCGACCCTTCTAAACAAAATCCTCTATAATTCAAGGATCATTGATGCTATCTGTTACCTTCAACGTGGAAAATGAATCCCGTCAATGCCAAGAGGTAGACTGCTGCACTGCGCTTTATCATCTCAAGTGAGATGGTGGAAAAGCTCACGACGAAAAGGGGCGTCCAGCTGCCTGGACGCGAAAGTATCGAGAACTGAAATTGCCCACTCGGCAGCTTCGGTATATATACAGCGACGTGGGGTTGCTTCGTCGCCAATATGTTTTTTTGCTGCATCCTGGCAGTTCCTATTAGTTATTAGAGTGCTTACGTGCATCTGCTGGAAGTGTATGTGTGTGAGTGATAAAGAGGGCACATATAGAGTGTTCCAAAACACGAATGGTTTTTAGGATACGCTGAAATCAATCCATTTTTAAACCATCAAAGTGGCTGTTCAAGTAATGCGTATCATACTTAGAGGGAGGGGGGAGGGAGCCAGGAATTCGATTCTGAAGTTGATAGCTAATTTCGATGAGAGCTACAGCAAACTTTGGAATTATAGATAATATTTTGACCAGAATTATGACATTTCAAGCTTAGCGAATGCAGAAAATGAGTCACTTTTTTCTAAGACCTCCGCGGCCGAAAAACAGTATTCAAAAGTTTAGAAAAATTACCCGGCAAGACATAACATCTGTATTTTACCAATGTCATTATTGTGACTTTCTTGCAATTTGAAATAATAATCGATAATTCTCTTTTTTCCGTAAAAAGTGTCAATCCTTTTCACTAGAATCTGCATGAAAATCGCTTTAACTATAGTAGATTGCCGTAATGGAGATGTTGCATATGTGAGGAATTTGCGATTTGACTGTTGATTCTCATGTAAAAGTTCACGAGAAACACGATGGTGCTACTGGTTTTCTCTGAAATCAACTCCCAAGCTCAAAAAAAGCTCTCAAGTTGAGGCCAAAATGGAGGGGATACCCCACGCTATCCTGAGAGTCCACGTCTACGTCAAGACAAACTCTCCATGCAAAGACAGGGAGCAAATACATTGACAGGGCTGCCGCTTAATTTGGGGAATCTAAAACTGAAAACGCGGCAGCCCTGTCAATGTATTTGCTCCCTATCTTTGCATGGAGAGTTCGTCTTGATGTAGGGGTGGACTCTCAGGATAGCGTGGGATATCTCCTCCATTTTGGCCTCAACTTGAGAGCTTTTTTTAAGCTTGGGGGTTGATTTCAGAGAAAATCAGTAGCACCATCGTGTTTCTCGCGAACTTTTACATAAGAATCGAAAGTTAAATCGCAAATTTCTCACCTATGCAACATCTCCATTGTGAGATCCCGAAAATTCACCCCACGAAGGCAAAGGAGGCAAAGAGGGCAAACTGAAAATAGGTCCCGAAAGATAAAATCACTCCGTATTTCTACTCGAATGTCAAATCCGAATAGCAATTAGACTGATAACTTTTTTTTTTAAATCGTTAATATTTGCAAAATCAGAGAGGGAACGACGATAGCAAAATGTTACCGTGTACAGAGGAAAATGTTTCAGGATAATTTGCCAAGTTAGCTTTTATGTTAAAAGTTAAAAATTGGAATTAGAGTTCTCGATGAAAAGTACCACTCTATAGTCTTCAGTACTATGAAGAATAATTTGCGAGGAGATCCATTTGACAGATTGTAAAATCCCGCCTTTCCATTTCTCCAAAGAGAATCACGCCCCTTTTAATATTGATCCTTATGCAGCTTTCTAGAGCACACCCCAACTCTCCCACTCTTCCATAGTTCCGTTTGGATATAATACGTCTATTTAGAAATTTTGGGAGGAAACTTATTGGGGTAATTCTCATTGCCTAAAGGATAAATAGAAACCGAATAGTACAAATAGAAGGATAAATAGGATAAATAAAAAAAATAGAGGATAAACAGAACTATTGGTGTGAATAGAATCAGCTTTTTACAGACTTTGGACGTTTTCTTTTATTTTTTTATCAGACTGGTAATGAGTCAATCATTAGAGAAACATCACGAAAAATTGTCCAATTTTGTGTTTATTTTTGCGGGCCGATAGCACCCATACATGTCCTCGAAACCCTTGAAAATGGTAATGTACCTGTTTCTCATACCTTAACATAGTTTTGCTCAAATTTCAAGGTTTCTGTCTATCTTTGGATTTACATTGATTGGATTTTTTCAACACTATCACGATAATACACCCATTCCATTCAAATTCGACTTGGAAATTGGAATTAGAATGAAACGGGTAATTCGGGATTGAATGGTTTTAGGTCATGTCAGGTGAAAAATCTGCTCTCAATCGCGATAAATGTAATTTATGATGACGAAGTTACTCAGTCACACCTAAATCGTGCCGTAGCATCAAAAGAAAGCAACATTTTTACATAACAGTTTTCATTCTCATGACAAGCAGTGTCCAAAATATTCGATACCGTTTGGTGAGTTTTTAGTGAAGCTGCAAGCTCAACGGTGAACGAAGGAAGTGTCTCCGCTCATTATGTATACCTTTGCTTCTCATTTCTTTATTACATATTTACTTTCCTTGTGTCACGAAAATAGAGTAAAATAGAGTCGCTATGTTCTGGAGCGCCAAGGAATTCCCTGTTTGAG